CTATATTAGATTGTTGTAACCTGCCTTGGGACTTATAAATAAATAAGCAAGCAAGCTGGGGTACTTCCGGCGAGGCAGCATGGCGGCTGCAACAGCAGAAAAGAGCTCCTGAAGCCAGCCAGAGTAAAAGGCTCTGTCTGGCCACCCCAGGGCTCCCAGGTCTGCTGCCGCCAGCACCAACAACGGAGAGGAATCGGGGGTGCCCAGGCATCTATCAAAGGAGCCAAAACACCCCCCCCCACGACTGAGATTGAGCCGGAAAGGCACCCGACCACCCCCCCAACAGCAGAGAGGAGCTCCAAAACCAGGAGGACAGTGGAGCCAACACAAAGAGGGAGAAAGAAAGGGGGAGAGAGGAAGAAAAAGAAAGAAAAAAGGAGCCCCAAACTTACGCTGCCGCCCCCATCTCTGCCGAGGAGAAAGCAGAGGAGAGGTACGTGAGCACGGGAAGGCAAAAAAGGCTCCGAAAAAACAACACGTGGCTGAGCCCCACCGGGAAACACAAAGAAGCAGCATAACAAAGGAGAAACTACCTTTTTTTTCCCTCCCCCCCTTTTTTTTAACCCCCTTCCTTTTTTTAACCCCTTCCTCCCCCTCCCTCCCCCCTTAAAAAAGCAGGGGAGAGGTAGGTGAGCACGGGAAGGCAAAAAAGGCTCCGAAAAAACAACAACACGTGGCTGAGCCCCACCGGGAAACACAAAGAAGCAGCATAACAAAGTAGAAACTACCTTTTTTTTCCCCTTCCCTTTTTTTTTTTTTTAACCCCCTTCCTTTTTTTTAACCCCTTCCTCCCCCCTCCCCCTTAATATATATATATATACCTTTTTATCCCTCCCCCCATATACCTACTTTTATCTCTTTTCCTTATAAAAGAGGGTCCACTGCTGCTGCAGCCACCCTTTATTTGAATCTTTACCGCTGATATTACTGTACTATCTCTCCCTTCTCTTTCACTCCAATCTCCCCTCTCCCCCCCGCCTCCCCCCTTTTTCTTTCTTTCTTCTTCTTCCCTTTCTTCTCCCTCCACCCTTTACATATAGCCTACTTGTCTGTCTCTGTTTCTGAGCGCACTCCCAACCCCAACTTCCACCTCAACTGGACCCCAATACCCCTTTTGGGCATATACAACCCCCTCCTAACACATATCTCCCCTGGCCCCACCCCTCCAATCTCTTGCATCTCTACCTGCTAACCCCCCTCCCTTTATATGAACTGTCTGCCCGTCAGTCTACCCATCTCTGCTTACCTGCCCCCCCCCGCCTCGGCGGCACCGCTGAGGCATCTACAGAAGCCCTAAAGAAGTTCTTAAAACACAGACTAGAAGTGACACAAATGACCACCTAACCAAACGCTCTGTAGAAGCCACCAACCAACAAAGCCTGATCAGCTCAGCAACCCAACAATACCCAGGAATCACCACTGCCACCATAAGGCTTTGGAAGTCCAGGAGCCACACTCCCTCCGAACTGCAACCGGCGAACGAATGCCCCCCGGTGCCTAAAGGTGACGATCGTCTGGGCTTCCGCAGTGCATCATCGGACTGGCGTTTTGGATAGGTATAGGCAAAGGTCCAGCTTAGCGAATAGACCTTCCCTCACCTCAGGAAGTGCCCAGCAGGTCGTTGGTACTAGGTACAGAGGACGCGATAGCGTGCTGCTGCACAAGTGCCTTGTTGATCGTGGGGCAGCTTCATAAGTCAGCGCAGATTCTACAACCGACCGCATCTGGTGAGCAGCCGCGTGCACGATGGGAAGTTTCCTCAGTCTTTGCGCTGGTCAACCGCTCCAAAAACTCCTTGGGCGATACAAGTCGTCACAGAATTTTTCGTCCGACCTTGAGCCCCTTGAAGAGCAACAGGCGAAAAACCCAAGGCAGTAGAACTCTCAGTCTTTTGGAAATGGGGGCGACTGTGGATCAAGAGCTAAAGTGAGTGGATGGGTGCGTACCTAGAGATATTGCCCAAGGTGCCGTCAAAACCAATTCGGCAAAGTCTTTGACTCGAGGACCCTCACCGTCTTGCGTTAGAGATGCAGTGTGATGCCCGGCTGACTTCCAGGCCCGAGCAGGAACATACAAACACAGTCTAAGCCATAGGAGGATCTGGCCGCTGAAACAAACTAAATCGACTCTTACCACTCATACCGGATAATCCAAGCCCGGAAAAAATGCCTTGAAAGCGATCCGGAACCGGCCAACGCCTACCACGGGAATGTCGTTTCCCTGGTAGTCTCTCAGGTGTACGCGGTGAGAGTCGAGTTGCCTTTTGAACTCTGGGTACCAGTCTTTTGATGGTGCTCCATGACACGATGGACAGGCAGACCCGGTGTCGATCTCCATGTCACATGGAGCTCCTTCAATGAGCACCGTGACGTTCAGCTTGCGTCGCGTAGGCGAGTCGGTTTTGGCCAATCGTGGTTCCAGACGGGCAGCGGCAGTTGGTGAGAGCGAAACAACTTTCCTTGGCAGACTGGAGTGAAGACTTGGACTTGCGAGTCGATGAAGGGGGGGTGTCAGACGGAGCCGATCGGCAGACCTTAGCGATGTGGCCCCTTCTGGAACACTTCCTACAGATGGCGTCTCTGAATCGACACTTGGCACGGGAATGGTTGCCTCCGCAGCCAGCACATTCCGGTTGGCCCTTGGACTTCTGTTGGAACTTCCTGCGCTCCCGCTTTGTCTGGTGCACGTCATCGTCTTCACTGGAGGATGCCTCCTCACTGCTGGCCTCTTCATGATGCACCGGAACTGGCTCCCTAGCAAGACGCGGGCTGCTGGACTTGCGGATCTCCTGGGCGGAGCGTTCAGCAGCTTCTGAGGCCACAGCCTCCTCAATGGCTTTCTGTAGCGTGAGGTCTGGCTTGGCTAGGAGGCGCCGTTGCAGATGGATGTCCCGGACCCCGCAGACGATTCGATCCATCAGGGCATCGTCTAAGTCTCGGAACTCACAGTGCATTGCAAGCCTGTCGCAGGGCGGTGGTGTAGTTGTTTGATTGACTCCCCTCTGCCTGGTTCCGGTGGTTAGAACGCATGGCGGGCAGCAATCTTGGACGGCTTTGGTGCGTAGTGGTTGCGGAGCTTCTCTTGGATCGTGTCCCATGGTGTTGCCTGGACTGCTTCAGGCGCAACCAACGCTCGGGCCGTCTCAAACACCTCAGGCCCACAGAGGCTGAGGAATAGGCCCCGCTTCCGATCCTTTGATACTGCTGTCAACTCGTTGGCTTGGAGGTAGCAGTCGAACCGAGCGAGGTAGGAGTCCCATGATTCAGGGGCTGGCGCCAAACGGCGGTAGAGGCACAAGTGAAAGCCATGATTCCGATGCCCGGCGTGAAGGGCGATGGATGGAACACAGTGCTCTAGCCAGAACAGTCAGCTCTGAATTGGTTTCTGCCCAGTGATTTCGCTCAGTGATTTCGCTCTGTGATTCAGCTCAGTGATTCAGCTCAGTTCAGAGGCTGGCCGCATCTGGCTGTGCTTGATGTCCATCCATCCCATCCTCGTCGCCAGTGTCGAAGTCGTGGGTTGACATAGCAGCCGGCACAAGCGATTTCTCAAGTAGCTCTTTATTATGGTAAGCTGGAATACAACTGACTGCGAACAGCTCAGCCGGCCTGTATTTATAGGCAGCCGGCTGTCAACATTGTAACCACAACAGCCAGAGTTCCCGCCTAAAATAACTGCCGCGGACCTGAGTGAAAACTATCTACAGACCTGAGTGAAAACTATATACAGTATCCCCCTGTTGGCCCAGGGTGAAACTACACTACATAACATCCTCAGATCCAGAGAGAGAGTAAAGAAAACACCAGGAAAGATCCTTCTTTGGAGGAAAGCAGTTTTATTCTCTGTGCACAGGAGACAGCCAGCAGAATAAATTCTGGAAAACTGACTGCCCGCAAGACACTTCAGCAGACTTTCTTATACCTTCAGAAAGCTCTCTCCCTCCTCCCCACGCCCTCCAGAAACTTCCCCAATCAACTGGAAAGTTTTCAACTTATTTTTAGCATGTCTATAGCCCTCTAAACAGCCCTCCCTATTGTTCCCTATAGTGTCTTTCTAAGCGTCCTGCATCCCCTCGTCCCGCCTCCTCCTCCCGTCTCCCCGTATGTGTCCTTGCATTCCTAAGGTAAGAAAGCGAGGCTATTCTGCAGGTCTGGCTGTCTCTAGCCTCTGTCTTATCTTGCATTCCTTCGAGGGGCCTTTTTTGCAGGTGAAGTTATTTCTAGCTCAGAAATTGACTTAGATCCAAGGTATAGAAGAATATGAAGATCCTTCTTAGGCAAAGGTACAAAATATAGAAAGCAAAGGTACAACATATAGAAAGCAAAGGTACAAAATATAGAAAGCAACCCTTCCTCTCCCTTCAATCCCTCCTCTTCTTATGAACAACCTATTACTTAGGTTCGTTCTGGGGTAGGGGTCTATAATCTCTCATGAAAGCAATCACGCGAGGTCCCATCATGCGAGACCATCATCTTCTCCATCATATTTTGCATACATTGCATCAAGCAGGGCATACAGAAGCAGAAAAGCAATAGAAGCATTATTGGACCTATCACCATAGTAAATATCCTCCCCATCCATCCACCTGGGAAGATGCCGTCCAACCAAGACATATCCCAGCCCTCCCAGGTTTGTACAGGGACATGTGCTACCTTTTCAATGCTTGCTGCCAGATCACGGATAGCCTCGCCATTGGTCTGAAATGTTGAAGCAACATGCTCCACCTGTGAGATTTAACGCTGCACAAAAGCCTCCATGTTGCGCCAGGAGAAAGTCCAATGCTAATTGGACTGAGAGAAACGCATTGCGTGTCTCATCCAATTGCGTGGCAATTAGCCTAAGGGCCGTGGCTGTCGTGTTAGCAACAATCTCTACCACTGCCTGGAGTCTGATTACGCGGTTCAAGTTATAGATCGGCCCCCCTTGCCCCAGAGATTTTCTCTCCCCGATTCCATGAGGCTGGAGCATAATGGGCCAGTATCCTTTCCGGAGGCCACTGATTTTTGCCCCAATTCTGGGAGTTGCCACCTGCAAGTGGTGCCAGGTCAGCCGAACGCCTCCTTCTACGGGGTGCAGAGGCAATCTGGTCAGGAATCCACATGGGGGGTATTAAGTAGGCTGGAAAACAGACCCCATACCATCCTCTTGGGAGGGCATGATAGGCCTTCCTGCCACACACCCAGTAAACGTCCTGACCATGGGCAGATATGGTGCCTCTCAGCAAGCGGGCCAGGCATGCAATCAAATTGGAACCAGAAAAGGTTCCTGCCTCGGACTCAAACATGTTAGTCGGGGCTGGGAAGGTACGATCACAGTGGGAAGTGCCCACATAGGTCTGAGCGTCACTTGTGTCATTTGATTTGTTGACACAAAGGCAGCCAGTGATCCTGTGAACCTGGAAAGGGACGGAATGATTCCATAAAGAAGAATGGTTGCCCAGAGGCTGGAAGGCAACAAGTGGAGTTGTAACCAAGGATTCATTCCAAGGCACAGGGAGGAGTGGCATTCCTCCCAGAGCATCTACAGGGGCCAGAGTGCAGACGGCACAATTGGTCCGATTTGCAGAGAACGCAACCATCTCAGCAACCTGAATCCACTTATTATATGTGTGGTGGGCCCCCCACGATTGCAGCAGTTGTCTGGTCACTGTGAGTGGTATTGGCATTTCAAAGGTCAAAGGCAGCAGAAATACCAGCATGGGGACCCACAGTCGTATTTGAGCCATTGTATGCACGGGGAGGGCTTAGGTAAGTGCTAGAGAGTGGGCTGGGGTGTAATTACGCTGAAAGAAAAGATCCACTAGACACCCTCCTCTGCAGGGGTGGCGTAAAGCAAACCAGGCCCAGGTACCTTCAATAAAGTTCAGTTATGCGAAAGGAAAGAAAAGAAAATGTGAAAATGTTCTCTTTCAATCCATGCTGGATCCTGGAGCCGTGCCAAGCGTCAGCGTCCGGAGTGACGTAGGCAGGGCTGTAGTCTGGTGGGTGTCGGGTCGTCTGGTGGGCGTTGGGCATCTTGGGTCCCTTCCAACAAGGCTGGAGCGATGTCTGGGCGTCTGGGTCCAATCTGGGTCCTCATCATAGGGATGCAGAGGCTCGACCAAAGCACAAGGCGTTCCAGCAAAAGCTCACCTGTTAAGAGAAGAGATAACAAAGACGGCAGCGATTGCACAGAACAAATGGATAGGTAACATTTGCACATAAGGCATAGGCCTAGCAAACATTAATTCAAAAGGGTATGCTTGGCAGGAAACTTCGCAAGGGTTAACAGTTCTGTTCCTTGGGTTAAGTTTTGCCAGCTGAGATTTTTAAAAGTCTCATTTGTGTGCTCTAGGTTTCAGAGCTTTAAGCCATGTTGCAAATTTCAGTTCATTTGCCAGTGTCTGTAGAAAGAACAATGCGCTCCTTGCTTCTGGCAAAGTTACAAATTCCTTTTTCAGAGTAAAATTGCACCTTAAAAAGAAAAACTTGACAAAGTTCACAGAAAGCATTCACTTGCTTTTAAGAAAGTCACTTCTTCAGGTTAGTACTTTTGGGCAAGGGGGTGGGTAACTCTTGGCCTTCTGGGTTTATGTGGCTGAACTGTAAATCCAGAAAGTGTGAGGTTCAGGGTAGCTGGCTGAATGCAGCAGTGTCCTTCTTGGAATAGCTGCCAAGAGATAACGCTCTGAAGCTACCTCCAAGCGCCTGGCACAAGGAGAAAAAAAAAAAAAAAGAAAGCTGATGTCCTGTTACTTGCATGAATGAGAAACAGTTAGTTCACTTGCTTCTGCAACAGTCTTTGAGCAAATCATTTTCAGAAACCTCATTCTGTGTGCCGAGCAACCATTGTTGGACCAGGGCCAGGCAGCTTCTGGGAACCTGCGTTTGTTGGGCCTGGTTTATCCTAGTAAGTTTTTTTTCGTCTCTCAGGACTGGAGAGGTGGGGTTCAGGCCATGGGGTATCCCTGCACAGATCCCTGTTCTTGCCCTCTGCCTTGATTTTTCTGGAGTTTAGAGCTGGGCTTGTGGCTGTAACGCTGAGGCTCATGGCTGGGTACATAGGCATCGGAACTTTGGTTACTGTTCCCACCCTGTGGGGAGTGGGGTGTGTCGGGCGTGGGGCCTTTGGGCATTCCATTTTCCAGTGACCCTCTTGCCTGCAGATGGCGCACTGGCTTTTTCCCTAGGCGTTCTCTGCCCCTCCCGTGGACACCCTCGCTCGCTCTGAGATTGCATTTTTGGCTTTCTGGCTGTTTGAAGACAAACCCCTAATTATTTTGGCCAGGTCCTCTTCGAAAGAAGGATTCTGATTTAAGGTGCTTGGAGGTCTGTGGTCCTGGGCATCGGATGACTCCAGGGGGTCGTACACTCAGTGGAGTGGGGCCATCAAAGTGGAGTTTTAGCTGCCTCAATTGCAATTATTAGTATTGTCCGCTGCCCTGAGGGCATTTATCTTGCAGATTTCCTCAATGGTCAGTATTGTAATCCCAGGGTTCTTTGATCCCTCGGGTTTAATTGTCTCTTTTTTTTAACAGTTCTGTCCTATGCGGCTCTCAAAGCCTTCTGCTCTGTTTCTTTCTGTCTGCCAATTCACATCCTTGCATTGTGCTGCTTCTAGAACTCAAGAAGCCACATGGTTCTACATACTGAAACACTCTTTTGGACTGCTTGTCCACTTCACCTTCTGAATTCTTCATTCTCTATACCACCTTCTTCCTCACTTTCCTCTTCTCTTTCTTTTCTCCCTCAGTCTCTTTTCTTGGGGGTTGGGTAGGGGAAACCTCATTTAGCCCTGGTGCAGTTGCTGCATAGGGTGGAGGGGGGCTAATTATTCCTTCCTCCTTTTCTTCTGGGACTTCTTCCTCTCTCTGATTATAAGTGGTTTGGGCTATTTCTAACATCCATTTCAGGGTGTGGCCCATCTGGATTTTTCGGCAAATATCGGGCGCTGCCTGGGCTACAAAGGCAGTTTTTATGATAGGGCATTGGCAGCCTCATCTGGGTCCACAGGGATATACTGGCGGTAGGCTTCCTTCAGCCTCTTTAAGTAGGCTTCAGGGGCCTCCTCTGTCCCTTGCATTCTCATGTGTGCTCGGGCTTCAGCATGAATTCGCCTATCCTCCTCTGTAGCTAGCAGGGCATCCATCAAATACTGCACATCATAAGAAGTGGGGTTGTATGTTTTAAAAATTGGCAGGGTTTTCTCCAAATGAAGGGTTTTGGTTCTTCCAATTACAAACATCTGCACTAGAGAAGGGGACATGTTGAACTGTATGAGTTCTATTGGGCACAACCCCATCAGGTCCCGCGGGGGCCGGAGGGTCATACACTCTATGGAGAGGCATCACTCTGGCCGCGCCCTTCTCCTGTGCTTTATGTGCCCTATGGAGGGTCACTCTTTTCGCTGCCTTTCCCCACTTTTTCTGCCACTTTCTTTTCTGTTCCCCTATACATCCCGCTGTTTTTAACATATGGGGACTGACGTCCACTTCTCATAAGGTTCCACATACTTTCTCAAACGTTCTGCCTGTTCCTCTGTTCATATCTTTCCATCACTTGTCAACTTAATCAATCTTCCTACAAATGCCTCATCCTCATCATCCTCTTCTCGTTCCTCCCTTTCTCCATCTTCGCCCAGGTCTAACAATGCATTGTCCACGGGATTGGGGGCTGGGCCATCTGTTCCCTATGGCGGGGGTGGTGCCAGGGCTGTTGCCGGGGCATAAGGCGGTGGGGGCATTAAAACTTTATCTTCTTCCTTCTCTGAATCCTGGAGGACTGGGGGGTTGTCCTCCTGTCTTCCTGACTGAGCAGATACGGCTGCCTGAGACCTTTTGGCAGCATGACTTCAGCCAAGGGGGGGGGGGTTTCCACATTGGTCTTCCATGTGGAAATGTAGGGGATTTGATCAGAACGGTCATTCAAAATGTTCTGATATAATGGATTAATGAGTTGCAAATCAAGGGTCCTGATGGACGGCCAATTTATTCTTTTGGGGTGGGCCAATCTAATTTACACAATGTCCTCATCCTCCCCTCTCATCAGCTTGAATCTCCAAAAGCATTTCAAAGGGGTACTTTTACTTTGGCCAGAACCCATTTCTTCCAGATACTTCGCTCCTATTCACAGTAAAAAAAAAATTCTCTCACACTTCACACACTACAGTCCTACAATCGCTCGGCCAAAGGGGACACTAAGCCCTGGCCCACACTTGACAATTCAGTCACTAGAGTATCTGACATGCAACATACAACATACAAAACACATCAATATAATTTCAACATGTAACACAAAACACACCAAAATAATTTCAGCATGCAATATACAAAACACACCAAAATAATTTTCCCCTCTGTTCCCCTTTTTACCAAACCTTCCTGGTGGCACACCACTGCCACGCCCCCCCTTTTTTTTCCCCTTCCTGGCTGCACACTACTGCATAACCATTCCCTTCCTGGCTGCACACTACTGCATAACCATTCCCTTCCTGGCTGCACACTACTGCATAACCAGGTGAGGCTGATCAGGCCTCCCTCTTTTCCCTTGGGCTTACCGTTTTCTGCTGCAGAGTCCCTTCCCTGGCCAGTCCTCTTTCCTCCCTCGACCTGGGTCCTTGCTCTGGAGCGGTGTGGCTGGTTCCCCCCACAAATTGGCAGGTGCGCGCGTGGAGCCTGCAATCACCGATCTGAGCTGTCCACCAGGTTGAGCCTGGCTCTCTCCAGCCCTCTGAGGTGGGGCAGATTCCCGGTCAGGGAACCAAGATGTAGGCTGAGCCTAGTCCATGCCAGGGAATCGTTGGCCCGCGTCCTCAGATCCAGAGAGAGAGTAAAAGAAAACACCAGGAAAGATCCTTCTTTGGAGGAAAGCAGTTTTATTCTCTGTGCACAGGAGATGAAGGGAGAGGGAAGGGTTGCTTTCTATATTTTGTACCTTTGCTTTCTATATGTTGTACCTTTGCTTTCTATATTTTGTACCTTTGCCTAAGAAGGATCTTCATATTCTTCTATACCTTGGATCTAAGTCAATTTCTGAGCTAGAAATAACTTCACCTGCAAAAAAGGCCCCTCGAAGGAATGCAAGATAAGACAGAGGCTAGAGACAGCCAGACCTGCAGAATAGCCTCGCTTTCTTACCTTAGGAATGCAAGGACACATACGGGGAGACGGGAGGAGGAGGCGGGACGAGGGGATGCAGGACGCTTAGAAAGACACTATAGGGAACAATAGGGAGGGCTGTTTAGAGGGCTATAGACATGCTAAAAATAAGTTGAAAACTTTCCAGTTGATTGGGGAAGTTTCTGGAGGGCGTGGGGAGGAGGGAGAGAGCTTTCTGAAGGTATAAGAAAGTCTGCTGAAGTGTCTTGCTGGGCAGTCAGTCTTCCAGAAATTATTCTGCTGGCTGTCTCCTGTGCACAGAGAATAAAACTGCTTTCCTCCAAAGAAGGATCTTTCCTGGTGTTTTCTTTTACTCTCTCTCTGGATCTGAGGACGCGGGCCAACGATTCCCTGGCATGGACTAGGCTCAGCCTACATCTTGGTTCCCTGACCGGGAAACTGCCCCACCTCAGAGGGCTGGGGAGAGCCAGGCTCGACCTCGGTGGACAGCTCGATCGGCATTGCAGGCTCCACGCGCACCCTGCCAATTTGTGGGGGGAACCAGCCACACCGCTCCGGAGCAAGGACCCAGGTCGAGGGAGGAAAGAGGACGGCGCCGAGGGGACAGGTCCGCAGCGGAAAAGGTAAGCTCCACAGGGTATAGGTGGGAGCAAGCTCCACAAGGATAGGTGTGAGCAAAAAGAGAGCCTGATCAGCTCCGCCAGCAGGGTAGAAGAAGTGCCACTGGTTTTGGTGTTGCCCAGAAAAAGCAGCAAAGGGTGCTGCTAGGGCCCCGGTCGAAGTCTAAGCGCTGCCGGTTATGGTTGGTTGTTGGTTTTGTGCCCAGAAAAGGCAGCAAAGGGTGCTGCTAGGGCCCCGGTCGAAGTCTAAGCGCTGCCGGTTATGGTTGGTTGTTGGTTTTGTGCCCAGAAGAAGCAGTAAAAAAGGTGCTCTTGGGCCCCGGTCGAAGTTGTGAAGCACTGCCGGTTGTGATTTTGGTTTTTGGGGGAAAAAGGGGTTGGGGGAGGTGCATGGGTTTTTCTGAATGTGCGTGTGGGGACACTCCAGTGAATGTTTTGAGTGTGTGAGACGTTGAAAGCAACGTCTGGCCTGTGACTGAGTGAAAAAAATATCGTTAGGAGGAGGGAGTGTCCCAGTATCCCAAGTGTCCAAGTGTTCCAGGGTCATGGAGAAAAAGCAGTAAAACAACTCCCATGACCCCCCTGCAATGCTTTCCTGAACAAATTGAAAAGATGCCACGAAGGGAGAAGATTGGGGATTTTAAAAACCTGATGAAAAATAGACTCCAACACTTATGTGGAGTTCCTAACCGTCTCCCATGGCTTAAGAAAAGTAGAACTGTGATTACCTGTGCCTGCCAAACTGTGCCCAGTATGGCAGCAAGTACAAGTTAAAAAGCCAGCAGTTTTGCCAGTCCCAGAAGAGAAGTCCCAGAAGAAAAGGAGGAAGGAATAATTAGCCCCCCTCCACCCTATGCAGCAACTGCACCAGGGCTAAATGAGGTTTCCCCTACCCAACCCCCAAGAAAAGAGACTGAGGGAGAAAAAGAAAGAGAAGAGGAAAGTGAGGAAGAAGGTGGTATAGAGAATGAAGAATTCAGAAGGTGAAGTGGACAAGCAGTCCAAAAGAGTGTTTCAGTATGTAGAACCATGTGGCTTCTTGAGTTCTAGAAGCAGCACAATGCAAGGATGTGAACTGGCAGAAAGAAACAGAAGGGAAGGCTTTGAGAGCCGCATAGGACAGAACTGTTAAAAAAAGAGACAATTAAAACCCAAGGGATTTAAAACCCTAGAATTACAATTACTGACCATTGAGGAAATCCGCAAGAAAAATGCCCTCAGGGCAGCGGACAATACTGATGTTGCAATTGAGGCAGCTAATAGTTGCAATTGAGGCAGCTAAAACTCCACTTTGATGGCCCCACTCCACTGAGTGTACGACCCCCTGGAGTCATCCGATGCCCAGGACCACAGACCTCCAAGCACCTTAAATCAGAATCCTTCTTTCGAAGAGGACCTGGCCAAAATAATTAGGGGTTTGTCTTCAAACAGCCAGCAGCCAGAAAGCCAAAAACGCAATCCTGGAGCAAGCGAGGGTGTCCACGGGAGGGTCAGAAGATGCCTAGGGAAGAAGCCAGTGCGCCATCTGCAGGCAAGAGGGTCACTGGAAAATGGAATGCCCAAAGGCCCCACGCCCGACACACCCCACTCCCCACAGGGTGGGAACAGTAACCAAAGTTCCGATGCCTATGTACCCAGCCATGAGCCTCAGCGTTACAGCCACAAGCCCAGCTCTGAACTCCAGAAAAATCAAGGCAGAGGGCAAGAACAGGGATCTGTGCAGGGATACCCCATGGCCTGAACCCCACCTCTCCAGTCCTGAGAGACGGAAAAAAACTTACTAGGATAAACCAGGCCCAACAAACGCAGGTTCCCAGAAGCTGCCTGGCCCTGGTCCAACAATGGTTGCTCGGCACACAGAATGAGGTTTCTGAAAATGATTTGCTCAAAGACTGTTGCAGAAGCAAGTGAACTAACTGTTTCTCATTCATGCAAGTAACAGGACATCAGCTTTTTTTTCTCTCCTTGTGCCAGGCGCTTGGAGGTAGCTTCAGAGCGTTATCTCTTGGCAGCTATTCCAAGAAGGACACTGCTGCATTCAGCCAGCTACCCTGAACCTCACACTTTCTGGATTTACAGTTCAGCCACATAAACCCAGAAGGCCAAGAGTTACCCACCCCCTTGCCCAAAAGTACTAACCTGAAGAAGTGACTTTCTTAAAAGCAAGTGAATGCTTTCTGTGAACTTTGTCAAGTTTTTCTTTTTAAGGTGCAATTTTACTCTGAAAAAGGAATTTGTAACTTTGCCAGAAGCAAGGAGCGCATTGTTCTTTCTACAGACACTGGCAAATGAACTGAAATTTGCAACATGGCTTAAAGCTCTGAAACCTAGAGCACACAAATGAGACTTTTAAAAATCTCAGCTGGCAAAACTTAACCCAAGGAACAGAACTGTTAACCCCTTGCGAAGTTTCCTGCCAAGCATACCCTTTTGAATTAATGTTTGCTAGGCCTATGCCTTATGTGCAAATGTTACCTATCCATTTGTTCTGTGCAATCGCTGCCGTCTTTGTTATCTCTTCTCTTAACAGGTGAGCTTTTGCTGGAACGCCTTGTGCTTTGGTCGAGCCTCTGCATCCCTATGATGAGGACCCAGATTGGACCCAGACGCCCAGACATCGCTCCAGCCTTGTTGGAAGGGACCCAAGATGCCCAACGCCCACCAGACGACCCGACACCCACCAGACTACAGCCCTGCCTACGTCACTCCGGACGCTGACGCTTGGCACGGCTCCAGGATCCAGCATGGATTGAAAGAGAACATTTTCACATTTTCTTTTCTTTCCTTTCGCATAACTGAACTTTATTGAAGGTACCTGGGCCTGGTTTGCTTTACGCCACCCCTGCAGAGGAGGGTGTCTAGTGGATCTTTTCTTTCAGCGTAATTACACCCCAGCCCACTCTCTAGCACTTACCTAAGCCCCTCCCCGTGCATACAATGGCTCAAATACGACTGTGGGTCCCCATGCTGGTATTTCTGCTGCCTTTGACCTTTGAAATGCCAATACCACTCACAGTGACCAGACAACTGCTGCAATCGTGGGGGGCCCACCACACATATAATAAGTGGATTCAGGTTGCTGAGATGGTTGCGTTCTCTGCAAATCGGACCAATTGTGCCGTCTGCACTCTGGCCCCTGTAGATGCTCTGGGAGGAATGCCACTCCTCCCTGTGCCTTGGAATGAATCCTTGGTTACAACTCCACTTGTTGCCTTCCAGCCTCTGGGCAACCATTCTTCTTTATGGAATCATTCCGTCCCTTTCCAGGTTCACAGGATCACTGGCTGCCTTTGTGTCAACAAATCAAATGACACAAGTGACGCTCAGACCTATGTGGGCACTTCCCACTGTGATCGTACCTTCCCAGCCCCGACTAACATGTTTGAGTCCGAGACAGGAACCTTTTCTGGTTCCAATTTGATTGCATGCCTGGCCCGCTTGCTGAGAGGCACCATATCTGCCCATGGTCAGGACGTTTACTGGGTGTGTGGCAGGAAGGCCTATCATGCCCTCCCAAGAGGATGGTATGGGGTCTGTTTTCCAGCCTACTTAATACCCCCCATGTGGATTCCTGACCAGATTGCCTCTGCACCCCGCAGAAGGAGGCGTTCGGCTGACCTGGCACCACTTGCAGGTGGCAACTCCCAGAATTGGGGCAAAAATCAGTGGCCTCCGGAAAGGATACTGGCCCATTATGCTCCAGCCTCATGGAATCGGGGAGAGAAAATCTCTGGGGCAAGGGGGGCCAATCTATAACTTGAACCGCGTAATCAGACTCCAGGCAGTGGTAGAGATTGTTGCTAACACGACAGCCACGGCCCTTAGGCTAATTGCCACGCAATTGGATGAGACACGCAATGCGTTTCTCTCAGTCCAATTAGCATTGGACTTTCTCCTGGCGCAACATGGAGGCTTTTGTGCAGCGTTAAATCTCACAGGTGGAGCATGTTGCTTCAACATTTCAGACCATGGCGAGGCTATCCGTGATCTGGCAGCAAGCATTGAAAAGGTAGCACATGTCCCTGTACAAACCTGGGAGGGCTGGGATATGTCTTGGTTGGACAGCATCTTCCCAGGTGGATGGATGGGGAGGATATTTACTATGGTGATAGGTCCAATAATGCT